ACTCTTTTATCATCACTTAATCGTTAACACTTACTTATATAATTGTATTTTCTATATTTGTGCTTTTCTAATATTTTAGTATTATATGTGCTTTTCTACTATTTTAATGTGTGTGTTTTCTAATATTTCAATGTAATTTTATTTTCTAATTTTTCAATGTATGTTCATGTTTCTAATATTTCAATGTAATTATATTTTGTAATATTTTTCAATGTATGTGTATTTTCTATAAAAAAAAAACCATTTAGCTCTTAGTTCATGTGATTAACATTTTCATTTTAATCTAACCCTAAACCCTAAAACCATTTTACTTTAAACCCTAAACCAACTTAACCTAAAAACTCAAAACCACATTAACCTAAAAAACCCTAAATCGCTTTCACTTAAAAAATCCTAAACCACTTTAACATAAACAAAACATTAAACCACTCTAACCTAAAAAACATTACAAATTACCTTAAACCATTTCCAAAGCAGAACTGAAACCCTTAATCTTATAAATTCCTAAAACCCTAAAAGAAAACCAAAACCCTAAAAACTATTATCCTTAAACCCTTTAAAATCTTAAACTAAGTGTAAACCATAAACCCTAAAATATATAAAAATACTTTGAACCGAGGCAAAAATGAGTGCCCCCAAATACGCATTTGGAAGGTTCATCCCCTACAACACGCCTTCCATCGTGGTGTCACATCAGCTTAATCCCCTAGAAGGTGTACCCCTTGAAACGCGCTTTCCCTCCACATCAGTAGACCCCATGAAGGCGCCCCCGAGAAGGACCCTTCTCTCCATACTGTCAAAAAGGGTGTTACATCGGGAAATAATGGGGAACGTGTGTTAGACTAGGGATATTTAATTTTTAGGGTGATTTTTAAGTAAAATTGTCGTAGTTTGGCTCATTAGGTTACCTTTTGCGGTGTTTGATGTCTCCTGTTGTAGTTATTAATTAGATATTTCTTGACTGGTTGGTTATGGTTAATAAAATTTTGAGCACTCTTTTCCTCTTCCCCTGTCACGATTAAGCCTCAACTTGATCGAGTTACGAATGATTTTTAACGAGGCTCGCTTTTCTTTTCAAGAAAAAAAGTATCGATATCGTTTGAATTGGTGTAGAAATTTGGTATTTCTAAAGAAGAGTATCAATACTATATTCATAAGGTGTCGATATTGTTCCTTCAATTTTGATACCATGGGGTTCAAATTTTATTTTAACTATGAAATTGAGATCGATGCCTAATGAGGGCATCGTTACTCAAGGTTGTGTATCGGTACCCTAGTGAGAGTGTCAAAATCATCAGTGAAGATTAATTATGGATCTTGTTTTAAATGAAACTCGAGTGTAGTATGATTAATAATAATTGGAAATGACAAAAGTTCTTTTAGAGGATTTAAATTATTAAAATTCTCTTATAAGTGTATAATTTTCTAAATTCCCACATGAGACTAAATTAATAAAAGAAGACTAAATCAACAAAAAAGGATTGACCTCACGGTAAAAAATATTTATACATTTCAAAAAGTAGATGATCATCTATACAATTTTACCTTTCGTCAAAGGATAGACTACTTTGATATTATTGATATTATTGTTGTTATTATCACATAAGGGCTGCTATGCTCCTTAAAGAAATTAAAAGAAAAAAAGAAAGAAAAATCAGTGGGCAAGACCATAAATAAAAACTAGTGGACGGAGTAGTCAAGAACCGACTTAAACCATTGAACATGGAGAAGAAAAAATTTGAAACGATGTCCAAAACATTTTTCACGTTTATAAAATGTGTTGAAATTTCCACTTGTTTAAAAAATTGGCAATTAATTCTAACAATTTCAATACACTTGACTTACAGCTTGTATTTGTTTCAATTCCATGCCCACATACTCTGATTTTGTGTTTAATTTGCAACAAAAAACATTAGATTTACCAGCCCTTTAATTTTCTTCATTCCGCTTATTTTGTCAAATTTGTATATCCACTATACTGAAATTTCTAAAGTAGTTTTTTCTTTCTTTTTTTTCCTTTTCCAAATTAAAAAATGTAAAACAATAGAAGAAATATTATTCTTTTCTCATTCGAGTGGTGGTGCATGTTATTGTCACATTTTTGTCTTTTTTTTTATGTTTTTTTCAGATTTAAATTTATTATTATCTTTTTAATTATTTTATTCATTTATTATCATTTTAAACTTTCATGATTATCTTATCATCTTGATAGATACTCATAATTATCTCAAATATGATAACAATAATTATTAATGTATTGTAATGCTTTATTATTATATTATTATTGATAGTATTTACTCTTCACGGTTAATAATAATATTTATTTATATTTTTATTTCCTCAAATTATTTAATTATATTATTCAATTTTTCTCTTATATGATCTTAAAATGAATTCATTATATATAAAACAAGAAAGGAAAGAAATACATGCCAGATTGGATCATCTCTAAATTTTACTAAATGGTAATTATGAAGGACTCCACTTGAACATCAAAAGGAACCTATGTACCTTTCAAAAAGACATCTCCCACTCTACATGTTTATAGAAAGAAGAAGAAGAAATCAAGAATTTTCAAACTCTATGACAGCTACAAATCCAATCTTTTACCAAAATTTTTAGTCCAGGTTCCTTAAGCCCCCATCTTCACACGAATCACTTCACTCATGATTAGGGGAGAATAAAACACTCAAGCTCAGCAGACTCAGCCACGTGTCACTGATTAGTTACAAAAAGTTATAGCTCTAATAAAATCGATCTCAAATTTTATCAATTTAAAAAATTTAAAAAAATAAAATTCGATAATTTTGTTATTTAGTCAAAAATTTCTTTATTTTTATAATTTCTCCTTCGTTTTAAGTTTATTTTCATTAAATTTAAATCGCTCATCAACCTCCATAGAATACATATGTAGCTATTATTCATCTTTTTGAAAACAAATTTTCTCATTTTTCAATTTAATCCTTTAACTTTATATGATTTACTCATTTCTTCAATTTCTCTTTCATTTTTAAGTGCATTTTTACTAAACTTGAACCACATGCTCCAATGCCACTATAAAATATCTATGTATCCTTAATTTTTAATTTTAACAAAAAAAATATTCTTTTACAATTTAGTCACTCAACTTTGCATTCTATTCAATTTGACGCTTTAGTTGTATTTTTTTAATAATTTCTTTCTTCTCATCAATGATTTGACTATTTTATACTATCATCAATATTCTTTCCTCAAAATTATCTTCTTTAAAAATAATAATATTAAAATAATTTATAATTTTAGATGTCATATAATTTATTAAATAATTGTACAAATTTTTATTATTTTATAATTTTAGATGGTATTTAATTTAGTAAATAACTTTACAAATCGTACTTACATATGTGAATATATATATATATATATATATCTTATAATTGAGTTAACCCGGATTCTATAAAATTGTTTCAACTCGAAAAAATTTGGAATAAAATTTGAATCATAAAATAGGATTCGTCAATTCGACTAGATCAAAAAAATTTGGCTCAACTCGATTGAATACTTACCCCGCTAGTTATATATAAAATAGTAATTTAGTTGATTAATTATTTTGACTTTGACATTTATTACCTAAAGGTATAAACCTAATTTCCATGTTGGTTATAGCACATAAACTATTTCAATTTGCACCCATTGATCTCATTTAACACCATACGCCAGTTTATGTGAGCTAAACCTCCTCTACATGTCCCATTGACCCACCAAACACTTCAAAAACTTTATGCAATGCCATTTATCCTTCACTAAAAGCTTCCACTTATTTTTTTTTTGAAAGAGACCAAAAATCCAAAAAGGACAATTTAGAATGAATCAATCACAATCTTGGGAGTTGAAATGTATTACATATAGATTGGTATGATTGATTTAAAAGCTAGATGGAACCATTACAATGTGACAAGCATATAAATCAATTGAATAATAATAATAATAATAATAATAAAGAGAAAAAGATGAGAAGAATCTAGTTCTTTGGAAAACCACTCGATTGTTATTTTTTAAAGTGCTACAACTACTCAAAATGGTCCAAACCCATGTAATGCATTAAAACTTGTAAGCCATCCATAGAAGTTATTGAGTGAAAGAAAACCCTAATTCAAATAAACTAAAAAAGAAACCTTGAAAAAAGTCAAGTAAACGTGTCATGGAATGACTATAGCCACCAATTTTCTCCCTCTTTTATTTATTTATCATCATTCTCTGAACTTTATATTCGTCGAAAGAATTCTAGCCTAACTCCCACATTTGTATGCAATAGCTGGCTAATACTTGGAACATTTAATAATTTAAAATATTATATAGCATAAAGCATATGTTTATCAAATCTCTATATATAATATTTTAGATGTGGTTTTTATGTATTGCGATAATAAATATTATACAAATACATAAAAGAATAAAAAATAAACAGTAAGTATTGATTGTAAGTCACATTTAATTTTGGATAAACTGTTTATTTGATTATCTATCTATTAGTTTATTTCTGTTTTAATTAATCAATTATTGTTATTTTAAAATTATATTTTAATTATTTATTAGTAGAAAATTAACAGTGGCACTGAATTTTCCTGCCTTCATTAGTTTCGCCCTGCTTGATAAAATCATGGTTTATGAAAATTTCAGGTACAACCTTTTGGACATTATGGGTTCCATAGAAAACAAAATGGGCAAAGGACACGTGTCTTAAGTATTGATGACTCACTTTTGTAATTTTTTGGTGAGGGTTCATGCACCCACTCGGTCGGATAAGGTCGGCCGCAAGATTTAGGCACGTGGCAGTCTTTTAATGGTGATAAAAAATAAAGTGGTTTTCCATTTCGAAAATAAGGCGGGTACGCCCGCATAGTCTCGCGTTCAACACTATCCGTCTCTTCTATTTAAATACCTTCCCAATCCCCAAACACTCAGAAAGACAAAAAAAAAAAAAACCAAATTTTCTCATTCAATTTTCTCAAATCAAATTCAATTAAATTTCCTGTTTGGTTGTCGAGAAAATGAGAGTCCCAGAAACTGACCCATTGGCACAACTGAGCTTGCCACCAGGATTTCGGTTTTATCCAACGGATGAAGAGCTTTTAGTGCAATATTTATGCAGGAAAGTTGCGGGGCATCATTTTTCTCTGCAAATCATTGGCGAAATTGATTTATACAAATTTGATCCTTGGGTTTTACCGAGTAGGTTAAATCAAATTCAATCCCTTTTTTCTGCTTATTAATGAATGCCTATTCTTTGGCTAACCAAAATATGTATCATTTTGCGTAGATAAAGCTATATTCGGTGAAAAAGAATGGTATTTTTTCAGTCCAAGAGACCGGAAGTATCCCAACGGATCACGACCCAATAGAGTCGCCGGTTCCGGGTATTGGAAAGCTACCGGAACTGATAAAGTTATTCTGAGTGATGGTCAGCAAGTTGGTATAAAGAAAGCCCTAGTTTTTTACGTCGGAAAAGCACCTAAAGGGACCAAAACGAATTGGATTATGCATGAATATAGACTCCTGGGAACTTCCCGTAAACATGGTAGCTCCAAGGTAATATATTTTATCATTTCTAAACCTCTAGCCGTCAAAATATAACGTAGGAAGAATATTCGATCCAGTCAAATTATTTTTAAAAAAAAATTAATCTTGATAAATTTTATTTAAATTAAATTTATACAATTACTAATCAAATTAAATCAAGTTGAATTTTTTAACAACTAAGTTAAAATTTTTAATTTTCTTAAATTGAGTTTTATTGACACCTTATATAGCAAGTTTTTTATGCTTGTTTAATGGAAATTTTAACTCAAAAAAGTAGTTAGTTTTAGTGATTATTCACATTAAAGTCAACCTTGTTTTTTTAGATATATATCATTTTAAGTTTTAACTAATGTGATGAGATTACTGTTAACATTTTATAATAGAAAAAGAGATTTCATTATCAATCATGTATAGCATTATTTGATTAATTATGTGTGTTTTTTTCTGTAGTTGGATGATTGGGTTTTATGTAGAATATACAAGAAGAAGTCAAGTGCTCAAAAATCATTTTCAACTGTTCCAAGCAAAGAGCATAGCAACAATGGCTCGTCATCGTCTTCTTCTCCCCATCTCGACGACATGCTTGAGTCATTACCCGATTTAGACGATCGTTTCTTTGCTCTGCCACGAGTGAACTCGTTGAAAACGCTTCAGAATGATGGGAAAACTGGGTTCCACAACCTGGGTTGTGGGAATTTAGATTGGGCGAGTCTTGCGGGGCTCAGCTCGGTGCCAGAGTTGGTTCCCAATGGACAAACCCAGACTCGGGGGATTCCGAGTTATGGAGATAATGACTTGTATGTCCCAACGATGCCGCCTGCACTAAGCCAGATGGATATGTCAGCGAGTAAAGTTGGTAGATCGGTCGAAGAGGAAGTACAAAGTGGACTCAGAACTCAGCGAGTTGATAACTCGGTGTTTTTTCAACAGAACTCAAGTGGGCTGATGACCCAGGACTCAATCGACAGGTCCGGATTCCGGTACCCGACTCAGTGGAGTGGGTTTGGGTTTAGGCAATAAATAGTATATGATAATTAATAGGAGAGGAATTTCAAGATTTTGTGCAATGGTAACAAAATGAAAACTCTGAAGAAATTGATGAGTTGATTTATTTAACTGAGTTGATAGTTAATAATATTTTTATTTAATTATATTTGTTTTCTAATTTATGTTTGAAATTTATTAATACTCTTATTAGTGATATTATTTTTAAAATTTAAATTTATTTTTTATGAAAAATATAGTGTGTTGTATCCAATATTTATTTAATAAATTTGAAATTTGAAATTGACTAATTTGGAAAATCTTGATACATTATCTTTTGGGCTCCTAGCTAAACGGTGGATGCAACATTTGCACTCAATTGTACAATTTGTTTTATTTAATAAAAATTAGAAAATCTTCTTATATTATATTTTGGGCACCTATTTAGATAATAAATGCAATATTCCCCACAATTGTACATATTTGTACAATTTATTTTCTCAAATAATTGAAGTCAAATTAACTAACAAAAGTTAAATTATTTTTAGACTTAATGCAAAAATAAGTGCTCAAGGTATATCCAAATTTAATTTTAGGTGTCTAAAGTTATATCCTTTACACTTTTAGGTACCTAACGTTTCCGACATTATATTTTTAGGTGTATGGACTGTAACGTCCGTTAAATTCAACCGTTAAGTAACACATGTCTGGCATATAAAAGTATATTTTTTTTAAAAAAAACTTAAAATTATAATTTATTTGAAAAATCTCAATATTTTCTGAAATTATGAAGAAAAAAACTAAAAAATCCCGAAAAATCTAATTTCAATCTCTTAACATCGTCGGCCGCCACCAAAACTGTCAATTGGCCAAATACCCAACACTGTTCGACCGACCAACCACCCAACGACCTAAAGATAACTATTTTTAACGAAAAATACTTTAGACACCTAAAGTTAACTTTAGAAATACTTTGGATACCTATTTTAAGATTAAGCCTGTTTTTAATGTTATATTTTGGGCACCTACCTATATAATAGATGCACTATTATTTAACTCAATTTAACTACAGAATTAAAATGGAAACTAGCTTGTTAATAATTAATGTAATGGAAATTTAACTCAATTTTCTGAAATTATTTTTGGGTTTATTATCAAAATTGGAATAGAGAATCTTCCACCAATATTGAAATGAATTAATACCATTGCGTGAAATGTATGTTCCTAAACATTTTCTCTCTCTCACTCTGTCTTTATCATTCCACTTTCATTGAAAAGAAAAGAAGATAAAATAGACTCTTCAACAACTGGTGGAATGAATAAAATAATTTAGGCACGACCATTTACATTCTCAATTCATTTAAAATGTGGAAAGATAAAACACATATTCCATTTGCATTAACTTATTCTAAGATTTCATTTTAAATTCTCATGTTTTCTCCAATGTTGTTCAATTATTTACTTTTTTATTCTCTTTTCATTTTTTTATTAAATTTCACAACACAAATAGTTATAAATTAATATCAACCAAATGAATTTTCTAACATATAAGTTTTCCCTCAGTTAATAATATTTTAACACAATATGTATAAGACTTTCTGAAGATACAATTTATGCCTACATATTGTCATAAATAATATGAACCGGAGTCACGAGATCCTTCTCAACCAGTATTGGAAGCAATTCTTTATATGTCATTGGAATTGAACCAATATGAGTCTTCTCTCGGATCAGTCTATAAGGTTTGATCTCATGATTAGTTGAATAAGATTTCAATGTATTAACCTCGACTCTTTTCTCGACGTTAGTATTGTCGGTGCCTCTTATCATGTCGTTCTTTATAGATGTTTCAATCATTTCTCCACACATGATGATGTTAGAGAAATTCTTAGTGGCAACCCCTATCATGTAATTAATATAGGGGATTTTAATGTATTGATGAACAACGTAGTGAACTCCCTTTCAGTTATTGGTGGATGTACTTGGGGAGCAACATCCCTCCATCGTTGCGAATATTGTCGGAAGCTCTTGTTACGCTTCATCTCCATGTTTTGTAACGTTTTTTGAGTAGGGACCATATCTGTAATGTGTTTGTGCTTACTCAAAAAGGCTTGAGCTAAATCTTTTCAAGAACAAATTTGAGTGTGACTTAGTTGATTATACCATTTGGAAACATGTTCGGATAAACTATATTGAAAATAATGGATCAATAGTTTCTCGTTCTCCACATAGCCACTCATCCGTTAACAATACATGGTGATGTGAGACGAATGGCAGGTGTTCCCATCATACTTCTCAAAATCTGGAGCTTTCAACTTTGGTGGGAGGACCAATTCGAGGACCAAACTTAGCTCTTTGGCGTCATACCCATAAAATGACTCGACCATCTCCCTAGATTTTATCATCTCCTCTATATTTTTTAGTTGTTAGGTGGATTTTTCTTTCTCAGCTAATTCATTTAAATCAGGGACCTCATTATCAGCATAGAAATCTTCTAGCTTCATCCCAAATGCAACATGATAATCAGTGGGGAATGAAATTCTAACCTAATGTGGTGGGTTCTCAGCAGAGAACAAAACTGGTGGTTGGATTTCCTAATGCCCAATGGTGTGCTTAGGAATGTGGACAAGTGTAAAACCCGGAGGAGGTGTGGGGTCTTCAACAAGACTTTTTCTAGCGATCACATGACTCCTAAACATCTCTTTCATCTTGTTCAGTAGATCAAGCTGAGAGTTAGCGATATTAGACTCAAGTTTAGCTAGCTTGTTTCTCACTTGTTCTTGCATCTCTTTCTGCTCTTTCTCAATTTTGGCTAGCCTATCCTCTCTTTCCTTAGACATTTTTCATATGTCTTGCAGGTGCGGAGTATTCTTGCTCCTAGTAGGGGCTAGGATCAACTGCGATCGGAAACCTTATCTTATTATTTTATGTCTTTAAATGAGCAAAAATCAAAGATTACAGATAAAATCTAGTTATATCTCCTAACTCTTCAACTCTTTCGAGTTGCTGGACAACACATCGTTCTTTGTCAGGCTCTGTCATTAAGAAAATCCTTAGAGCTTTTGCTTCCTACCTCATACCGAAGATTAGTTGAGCAAGCTCGTTATCCTTAGTTTCTACCCTTAACATTGAATCATGTTGGGCTTGAACCGTCTCTTTAGCAGATAGATTGTCTCTTGATTAAAGTTGCTTCTACTCTGAATGTGGATGAATCTCTGAAATTCTATCTAACTCATTGAAAGACATTGTCGTTTCAAGAACCTTCAAATATGACCATATATTTTAGAGATCAATATCTTTGATGATATGTCATGCTCATGCAAAAATAAAATACAATAAAACACATAACAAGACAAAAGGAAATTAAGTTAGTAAAATTAAAATAATGATCAAATAAAAGAAATGTGTGTTAGAAAAATCTGAAATGATTAAATTCAATCGGTAAATAGACCATAAATACAGTGAATAAAGCACACAGAGAAATTAAAACCCTAACCGCATGAATTACAGTTCTCTTAGGGTATCCAAATGGCTCTAAGGGGTGAGTTTACTAAGTTATCTACATGATGTTTGGTTTTTAAAAATGGATCCCAAGTTGTCCTTACAACCTACTAAGGTAAAAAAGACTTCAATCCTAGCCTATTACAGACTATTCGGATCGAATTTAGTCCAGGGGATCACATCACTAGATGACTATCAAGGAAAACAGTATCGTGACAGACAAAAGAATGCTTTCCAGAGGTACATTGTACAACCTACACAAGTAAAAACAATATTCCTTGGTGGTGTGATATTTCCCACTACTTAGGCTAAACAGGACAAAACTTGGGAGTAGAGCTATGATATGCAACAATTATATTTATATTCAAACAAGTGAAATATTAATCAGAGAGAAAATGTTTTTTCGGTTTTCTAAAAAACAAAGTGAATCATGAATTAAATAAACTCGCACTCAAAATTTCAAACTTTTAAAATATAGAGTAATCGATTTGTGGCTCAACACACTTTTTATTTTGGAAAACAAAAGTTCCCAGTAAAATCGTCAAATTGTCGTAACCGATTTTCGGTAGAAAGATCGATCCGACATTTTAGAAAATAAAAAGGTTTTGAATCGAGACCACTTATGCATGTGTGGAGCTAGGGCGACCAAATGCTTTGCTGGGGCGACTGTGGAGGCAGTTGAGGGGCGTGCATGGCTGCTGTGTGGGGTCGTGCCTTGCTGATGTGGTGCAATGGACCACTTGCTTGAGCGGCTACTATCGTGGAAGAGGAAGGGCCATGTGCGGATGGCTTCATTTCCTTTGGTATTTATTAGGGTTTCCATAACCCTAAATCATATGTTGGGTCATTTGGGTCAATGTTATAAACGGGCTATGGATTAGTTATAATGGGTAAATTTTTGGGTATTTAATTTGGTTATTGGGTCTGACATGTGAATGGGTTATTCTATTTGTAAATGGACACTTGAACTTTGGCGTAATTTAATTTTGGGAAATTGGGATTTGATTTGATTGGTGTTTATTATCCAATTAAAAGGGTTTCATTTTGGATTTTAATTTGTACCCTAAATCTTAAAAATTGGACATTTATGGTTACACCCAATTGAGCACCAAAATCTTTAACGCCCCTAACGAATGCAAAAATTCCACAAGCCATTCTTGACTATGCTATTTGCTCCAATCGATGCAAGAACATCTTTCGATTGGTCCTCGAATTTCTTCAGCCCATTTTGAATTGTTCGGGTCAAAATTAGGGTATTACACCGTTAGTGAGAAAATTAAATAAAAGTAATCATGTCTTAATTAAATAAAATAAAAGTGGTCAAATGTTATTTTTTTGAATTTAGTGAGGAAAAATATATAAAACTAAAATGAATGTGATCAATCTTGTAGTTTATTCATTCTTAATTGTTTGACAATGTGACTTACATGGTTTATGAGTTGAACTTCATTTGTCCGGCCATGAGCTTAACTTGAGTTAATTCAAATTAATGATGTTCTTAATTAATGTTTGATTGCCTTTAATATGTTGTGCTTGAATTGCTACTTTATCCAATGGTTTTATTATCTTACTTATGCATTGGAAAATGATTAATAAGCCTTAAGTTGATATTAATTGCAGGAGGGTTAGTATTAACTAGATTGAAGTTGGACAAGTTGATTTTTAT